CATGGCTAGGTAGATTAGAGGCTCCATTGGAGGCTGAGTTCGAAAACGCCATGTCAAATTTTAATCATTTTCCGTCTGCTGGCATGGATGCCCTCGTACCTGCACAATTTAAGGATGGTCATGAGGTCCTCTACAGAGCACTGACCTCACTGTTCGAACAGATTTTGAAGGAGTGAATAGATTAGAGTAGTAATATAGAAAAAGGACAGTCGTACTGACTGGGTTAATCATAGAGGGATCAGCCTAACATCGGTTGTGACAAAAAGCTAGCCTCGTTCGTCGCCTTACTGCAGAATAAGAACCCTGTATTAAAGAGCAGGCACATTTCCGCAAAGGACGGGGCTGTATATACCGTATATTCACTCTGCGTCAGGTGCTGGAGCAGCGCCACACGTACCGCAGACCGCCAATAGCTGCGTTCCTCGACTTCAAGAGTGCGCTCGACTCAGCCAATCGATCAATACTGTTCGAAGTACTTTCGCGAAAAGGCGTACCCACGAAGTATGTGAACATCCTACATACTCTATACTCGAAAATGACAGGACGTTTGGGGTTTACGGTGACCAGACAGATATCTTCCCGATAACAAGTGAAGCTCGTTGCCAACTTTCCCATCTTTGTCGTGGATGGTTTCCCTGCGGAATCTCATGATACAGGCGTTGACGTTTTGCTTGGTGGACAAATAGTCAATCCTGATTATGCGGACGTTATTGTCCAGCTGTTTAACAATGTTGGGGCGGCCCGGTCAACCCGAATAACCTCACTAGAGTGGTCGCATCAATTGGCGTTCACTTTCTATCTTCAAAGTTCAAAGTCTTGTTGCAGGAGTGGCAGCCGATTGATGACTACTTGACACTTGATTGCGAGGAACTCGAGGTAGTTGATCAATCCAATTTCTTTGACAGACGCATCAGCAACGATGAGCTCAAAACCACTGTAGTCAGTTCACGTATTAAAAAAAGCTAAAACTGCGTTCTTGAATCTGCGACATTTGTGGCGTCAGAACGGGGTTTCCCTCGGTCTGAAACGCTGCATTTCCACGGTACTGCGACTTGGCCCCTTCTATCTGGGGATCCGAGGAGCTTTTAATTTTTTGTTAATCGCTGCCTGCGAAGCCTTAGTAGTTTAGAGTGAGACCAGTGTGTCCGCATAGATGATATACGCAGTAGACTACTAGGCAGTGTGATGATTATTCTAGTTCCTTAGAACAATAAGTAACATATGACAAGTCACGTTGGCTTGGGCACGTATTACGTATGTCCAGCAACCATCACCTTCAGCAGCAGTACGTCAGCCATCTGAACTGATGCTTTGCCGCCACACAGCCATGATGACCTACAGAAGGAAAAATAAGAAGAAGAAGAGAAGGGGGACTTGCCGGAAAACCATAATGCCCTAACCAAACATTCATGGTCAAGGTGACCACACCTTGTCGACAACATACCCACACAAATAGCTGGCTGTCGTGCAAAGTCACCGCTTACCAAGGAGCGGGTCGTTCTGCTTAACGGCAGTTAGTCGCAGTCACTGCTCAGTCGAAAGTTGCGCTCATGCAGGTTTCCACATGTCTAGAAAAGCACCAAACGGTCGTTTCGACCTTCCGGGTCTCGGAATTTAGCGTGTTTAGCGGACCCCTGCCGGGTTCCGAGCCCCTGACTTACGGATGACAGCAGTTTGCGGCACATGGCTCGAGGTGGTCAAAAGTTAATTTTGCAGCAGGGAACGAAGTCGCTGACTGCAAAACTTGACGCTGTAGGCCCGTCTCGTCTTCTAGGCTGGAGTCCACGTGAGCTGCATCGTGCTTGTATAGAGACTTTACAAGACATGTCTCACAGTCGGTACCTGTGGCGTGTCTGCTGTCGTCTCCTAGTCGGAATAGCTATTTAAAAAGTGGTGTGGGGCAATGGTTGATACTGACTTTTATTTACATAATAACTAGTCGTTTCTGATTACATGTTGTCATACAACCATGATGACCTATAAAATAAAGAATAATAAGAGGTAGAGAAGGAAAAAGTATACCGCCACAAAGTATGCAGATGTGAACACGGTCAACTTCAGATGTTTGGCAGATTTGCATTTTATCGATTAGCGGTCACCCTGTTTGAGATGGACGGTATTAAACCAGAGAGTAACGGTGGTACCATCTCAACGTCAGAAGTAGCCCGCTGGATCTATCTTACGACTAGTAATTGTTGTCTCGTATAGCTGAGTTCGAGGGAGGAGGGCGATCAACCTCCCTACCCCGATCTCCTGCGAGAAGGATTTGGAGACCGACTTTGACTAATCTCCAACCATTGGTCAATTCAGTAAGGGTAGTCCCGAAGTCACATGTTGGGCACCACCCAAAGTAGTCAGATGGATGGCGGGGCGACGCAAACGATCCCACTACATTACGAGTCCCACTTATCGGGGACAGAAGGAATGTTAACAATGCACAAGAGGGTTCGTGCGCTCGTAGCAGAATTTGTGGATTGCGTGTTATTTCCCTGTGATTTCAAATAAGCACTTTGAAATGTGTTAATGAATACATCGCCATGTTGGCAAGATACATTGTCAAGCACCAATTTAGAAGAAATGGCTCCGCAGTACCTCCTATCTTCTCAACAATTACTCAAAAGAGGGTTTGAAGCATTGTTTGACTGCGAAGAAATAGATCCAGAAAGCAGACAATCTCTCCAAACTATTCGCAGGTAAACGCGCCCCAAGTAAACTGAAAATCTGAGACAATACGAGATGCATGCATCTATCAGGTTTCGTCTTGTTACCGCATTGTTCAAAAGAAGAATCACTCCGCAAAATGGCTTGGCGAAACTTTTACATGTCAGCATAGTGAAAATCAACATCTGCCTGCCAATGAGCTCTCCAACTTTGGGACGCTTAGATATTTCGTTTAGATCTACCGATGTAATGTTAACGCTGACATATCGATTAGATTTAGAGCTCCAATGTGTATGATTCGACTCAAGAAAATAGACGATGCCATGCTTGACGCGATGTCATGTTATCAAGTGTACCCGCGTTACAAGGTAAAAGTGGTGGTCGATAGCTAAGTGGCTAAGAAGGAAGTCGATAGCAGACCTTTTTATGATTCTAGGACTCTATGTATAAAAAGTTGTTCAAACTGAGATCTTGTCGATCAATCCATAGTGGATGATGACTGCTGGAGGGTGGGAAGGGTCCAGTTTACGTTCAGTATGATGGGAAAAAGGATTCGACGGGTAAATATAGCGTTGAACGACTAGCTAAAATTCCTCAAAGGCGACTAGGTCAAACGTCAGCCAATCATGCTAAAGACAGTGCGGTTCGTTATAACAAGCATAAATTACGAAAGGCACTACTCAAGCATTCTGACGTTTGAGTTAAATAAAATAGTTTGACGTATATAGAGTCAATAGCAACCTAAAACCTGATTTCAGCCCCCTGTCCTAATGATGCAAACATAATCGTATTCCCAGTGAACAAAAGTAGGTGTACACTAAGGGACCCGAGAGGTATGGTTAATGATACTCCCCCAAAACAGTAAAGAGCAACACAGTCATTATTCCCGTTCGAACTTCCGGTGGTTCTGGGCTTACTTTGGCAAGATAAGTGCAAATCGCTGTTTAGCTCCGTGCAGATAGTCCCAGTACCTAGAAAGTACATTGGCGAATTAGCAGAAAACTATAAAAATCGGCTTGGAGCTGAAGCTTACTTCTAGCGTACGCTAACAGTCCCATGGAATTAACTCAGTCACAGAAATACTCCGGAGGATGCACCTGCAAGATAGGATGACTATCTGAATGCAGACACCGGGCACGTATACATTCTGTCCACTGTACTTGAACGTCGTCAGCTAGGGCGGTTCAAACACGAGTATTCAGTGGACATTTCCATAGGATCCACTTCATCAAAGGAAAAGGTAAGTCCATACTTTCGGCCTCCGAATATAGCAATGGGATTGAACTTCACCCATTCTTTGGTAAAGTTTTTAATCCGGCCCTCTTTGCCTAACTGATAATCCATCCTGTTCAAGAAGTGGTTTTACAAGGATAAGATTCTTGAACTTGGGATATCGATCACAGCAGGGCCCCACTACAGAGGCAAAATTGTACCTAGGGCACCACCGCTACTCGTTCCCTGGTGGAGTAGTGTGGCGCACCAAGTCGACCCCGCATAAGGACTAGTTGCAAGTGAGCACTATGAGCATCAGGGACTGATATGAGTTGCTACGCCTTCCAGGGATGCTGGAACGGAATTTGGCCAATAACGAAAGGGGAAGGCGAGTGAGAGAATGCCCCGGTCATTTGTGGTCACCAGCACCATGGACGAGAGATATGGGACACGCAAACTCCTTGTTGCTATTGGCCTGTAGCAGACAAGCAGAGAACATCCGGAGTTAACCAGGGCAGCCACGGCACAATTCATTAATAGAAACAGGCTATTGTTACATTTTAGTCCGCGGTTTCGACTAGAGCGGTGGGTGAGACAGAACACAGCCTCTAATTCGCTGGCAGACTCGTGCATAAAACAAAGTGATAATGAGTTGTGTTTAAGTCCTCTGATGGTGAAGGTAAATACGCAATTTATGAAAGAGAATATTAGACGTATATGATTAAATACTAACATGGCCGTTGTGTATAATGATTGTAAAAGGATTTTCGATGCTCTCTGTTCAAATCCGCCATCCGCCAAACATCGAATGTGGACTACTCTGAGCGCAAATATCCCCCCCCCAATCCTCTTCGCCACTGCTTATGAAACTGCTCATGTATTGCTTCCTAATTGCTCGTTAATAGTACCGTCATCTTGTCCAGTGTTCTTGTTCTTTGACTGGCTGGATACGCGTTGGCTCAACGCTTTTCAAAGCGAATTGTCGCTTACAATGATGGTTAACTTAATTTTTTGCGATGAACATCCGATCATTTGCCACCTGGAAATTAGAAAAAGGGGGACAAGTTTGACCAAAGCGGGTACACTTGGGAGCGACGTGAGTCTTCACTGCGTCGCATCATTTGAGCCTGAATAACCGTCAGTGACTACCTCTCATCTAAGAAAAAGGGTGAGCAGAAACTGATTTCCCAGTGGTAAGTGAGCGTTCCGACGACCGGTCCGATGGAGGAACACCACAAATCCTCGGCTCAAATATCATTTATTTTCACGGATTCGGTTAGTGAGGAAGGGCCCTAAAGCCAAACCACACTGCCTGGTGAACAAAAAAAGGTACAGGCCGCCGTGGTGGATTTAAAGACGGTACCAATGTTGAGGTCTAATCTTCTTGAGCTTTGCTGGAGCTAAAAACCGAGTATTAGCAGTCGTCAGACCTGGAAGCAAGGATGTCCAGTTTCATCCAAGAAAACGGTTTCCTCAATGTTGTCAACAAGTAAATCGTTCAGTGAGGAGGCCATTTCCAGCTGCAGTCTATCGGGTAATGACAATGAAACCAAGGTTCCGTCTACAAAGGCAAGTGATTGCGACGGTTGGTGAAAGGGAGCGGTTTCTGAATGGGCTTCACAAGTAAAGCTGTGCGTTTGCTGCTGCTGGCCGTCTGAATTCTCCCCTTCATTTTGAAGGGCCAGGTCGGAGGAATGTAGTGTTCCATCCTTCCAATCAGAAATGTCCTCGGACCTGAAAGTGGAAAACAATAGATGAACATGGTGGTAAAGCTTGCAAAACCGGACTGAGCAAACTGATCTCACAGCTGTCAGTGAGATCCTCACGGAGGCAAGGCTGAGTTAGTTGTGATGAGAACAGCACCGAGAAGCAGCAAATGTAGACGGATCGTCTTTGTGAAGTGACGTAAGGGATGGACAGCATGTCACGGCGTGGCAACACCTCGTACATCCTTACTGGTGTATGCTTACAAACAACTGTTTAGCAACTTTAAGAAGTGCGTCGAGGTGTAGTGGATCCAGTTGCCATGACACACATCGTTAGTATAAAAAGCATGAGAATAATTCAGGAGAAAGCAGTGAGAATTAAAAACACCAGTCAAGGTGGCTATGAGACGAATAAAAAAACGAATGCAATGGCCCCACTGGCTTTATGACTGTGCCGCATCCCAAAGAGTTTATAGCAACCAGTCTAGCCAATCAAGAGGACTCTGGCTAATAAAGCGACAGTACATACCTGACAGAATTGGGTGACTCCTCGCGCACTTTTGATACATCACTAACCTTCTAAGTTGTGCATTCGCCCAATTGGGTGAGGTATTGGAAAACAACAAACAACGAGACAACCGGGTCGCTGACATACGAAACACAGGATAGACAAGGAAGGCGACTAGAATTCAACAGGCGCTCCAATATGAGGCACAGGAGGGCCCATTACCAAATACGAGCTGGAAAACTGCAACGTCGCACTTTCGATTCTATCGCCATATATGAGCAACGCTGAGCATGGCGTCGGGGTCAAAAATGACAGTCTTCTAATGTCCTCGGTGCGTAGCGGCCAGGTACTTGAATTGTGGAATAACACTGTAGCTCGCAAAGCAGTTAAGAACGGGCCATCTCCGAAAGTAACGGAAGCCATAAAAAGCCATACGAGCCTTGATAATGCGTGCATCAATTTCAGCAGTTTTGAAATCACTATAAGTTATGTAGCTACCTTGACAAACAAACCGATTGACCGTTTCGAGTGGGCCTTTCATGATTGTGAGTACTGGTGACATATCCGACCAGTGGCACAGTAGTAAGTTGCAGTTTGAAGTTGCGAAGTACATACATGCCTTGTTAGTCAGACTATACAGACGAACGCTTCGGAGCAGGATATCTCAAACAGACCCTCATGTACAGCACTGTGCTTCAGGTCAAACTGCTGTTAAAGACTAGAGGTAGAGTACCTGGAACAAAACCCATCTAGCGGAATGGGCATCCCAAGGGTATAATCCGTCTGCAATACGTCGTCACTAATAATCATTTTCTCTTCTATCGTTTCCCTTCCTTTTCACGGATACTTAGAAGACCCCGAACCACCTATGAGTCATGTGAAAGATGCATGTTGGATGGTGTGCCCGTATTTGATTCGCAACTGTTGTACACTGTAGGTGGTTAGCCTAATCGATTGACTATGCCATGCATTTCTTGGGTCGAGCTTGTGAGTCGAGTCAATTAATTTGGTGTTACCTGCTCACCCATGACACCTCCCCTTTCCTTTGGGATCTCGAGCCAAAAAATTACAACAAGTGGTGGTGCAGCTGGCCTACAGACACTATGACGGGTTTGAATTTTTGGCCAAGCGATATCACGGACAGACGAGAGCACACACAACGCTGATCCCTGCCATGATCGAGTGGATAGTGAAACGAACGATCTAGAAAGAAACCTTTGTAGTAGAAAGAGCAACCAATCGTTTCACAGATTGCTTGTGCATGCCAGGATTCTGTGTGGCGTTGAAGCAAGATTCAGGCACTTTTAGAATATTTTCAGTTTAAAACACTTAGTTCTCCTCAACAAATTGGAATACGGTGAAAAGATGAATTTCGGCGAAATCATGCATTTCGCATTCTTTTTTTCAATGCCGATAACGTAACTGGACAGTATGACCAACTGTCAGCGGGTGTAGACAAACCCGCAAAGAAACGGAAAGAAAAACCGGAAATCTCTACCTATAAGTTCACGGCGATTGAGCCTGACCGATAATTGCTTTTGAACGCAAAGCTCTGTCTCAATCCGACTTGTAATAACAGCCTTGACGGAACTGAGGAATCGGGAATTGGTAATCCGTAGCAGAATTTTGGATGTTTTGACCTCAGTACTGCGAAGTGTCTGCAGATCGAAGATTCTGGCGGTCAGCGTGAACGCGGGACCTCAGCTAGGCATGTTTGCTGCGCTGTCTAACGTTGGACTTACTTCGACACGTACCCCTTCAATCTGGATCTCAGATCTATCTGCCTATGTAACTAGCTTAGCAGTTATATACGAATTGGTGTACACAATGGGAGTTGGCGTTGTTAAACTGGGTTGCCTTCAGCGGAAGCAGCCGCAGCTTGTGGATCCAATGATGATACTTAGGCAGCATATAAAACGCTAGGCGTGGCAGAGATCAGAAGTCTGGTAGTCCTCAATGTAGCAAAGACACCCTTAAAGTGTATATCTAGGTATATTTTTTGTTAGGCAGGCTGTCCTGAAATTCGGTGGACGAATCAGCTGTGTTCTTTTAATCCCTGTGTATTTAACAATGATGTGTATGCACACCATTAAGCACCTTTAGTTGCGAGGGCCTATTCTTCTCAGTTTTGACCTTAAGAAATAATCCATATCCGTGGCTGATGAGCTTTCGGGTTTAGTCGTTGAGCGCTGTGTCAGTAAACAATGTAAAGGTTATTTCAGTCGATGTTACTAACGACGAGGCTAACCAGATAGTGGTCAACTCCGATTGCTAAGAACCGGCCGCGAAGCCTGACATTGACGCTACGGTCCCTAACGGGGATGGCATGCTCTAAGTGACTTGACGGTCATCCTCAGACAGCCTCGTCCAAAATGAATCTGCACCAAGCTTGCAGCTAATGTGTAATGAGACTTGAAGACGGTTTCAGACAAACTGCTTGAAAAGCTAAATGAAAGGGAGAATTCTTCCTAAGATTGATCGCTTTAACACATCGTGTGGGAATGCACTAGCCCTGTAATGAATCATGAACAATTAGTGTAGACCTATAAGTATTTCAATACAATCATGTCCTTCAGAGGAAAGTGCATCACCACGATACTTCAACAAACCATGAACACAGTACCGGAGGCTTGTCGTAAGCTACGGATTATATGGATGAAAGCAGCGTTGTTAATTCAACTAGCGAAGCCAACATTAAATACATGAAGAATGCAATTTACACGAATATAGACGTTCAGGCGAAGATAGGATCTATCGATAAAAGCTTGCGCCCTTATGCTCAGTCTGGGTTTTCTGCACATTTGTGCGTGGTAGAACCACCAGAGCAGTTCTTTGTTACACTTGCAAATTAGTGTGCTCAGTTCAGCGCGACGATGCTGACAAATGTCAAGCGAAACCTCCTCCCGAAACCGAAAAATTCTCTAGGAGTGAAAGAAGGGTATAGTGTCTGGCTTTTTGTTTGATGATACCTGAAAATTTCCAGTCGCTAGGACAGAAGCGACTTAGAGTATAGCACTGGTGCCGTCCTTTTACCCGACTATTCTAGTGGATCAAAGAACACGCTTGGATCACCGCTGTTCGTTGTCTGGCTCCGACATATAACTAAATAAATAAATACTTTTATGCTAGATGAAACTAGACACACCAATACCGCCATGATCAAGAACCACAATTCGGTTGAAAAGGAAGATATGGTATAAGCATATCGCGAGAGCGGGAAGCTTCCTTGAAAACATCCCGGCTGAAGTAGATGGAAATTGGGTGTTGCCCACCCGGAAACACTGCACACCACGATGCGTTTCAATCTCGTTTGATTTCATCACTGTGATCGCGTTGACCAAAGTTACTTCAATGTAAATCGCGATCTGCATTCAGATGGCGCACCGCATCCATTCACACGAGTAATTTAAAATGACACTTGGTAGATCCGTGTACAAAAATGTTTTGAAATTGTACTCTCATTTAACCTAACATGCGGCAAATCCTAATTACCACACCATGTGATCCATGCCGGCGTCAAAAGATCATTTGCCCTCTATCCATGACCACGCCGGCGCATCAAAGTACGTGACAACCATGGGCGGTTGTGAATGCACTTCCTCACATCCACTGACAATGCGGATATACTTATGTCGCACCAAGGCGCCAGACACACAACTGTACGACCGGACAGCGGACGCATACGCTTCCATTCACGTGCTCAGGTCCCGAGGCAGCCATCGTCTCACCACCCGCAACAGACTCACATCTATCATGTGAGCACAAGCGACAAGCCTTTTCCATTATTGTCATTATTATTCGTACAATATTATCATTATTAGTGGCTGATCTTCTGATTTTGCAACTAGTCACGATTTAAGTGGCAGTAATAATCTTCCAACCACCGCCACTGAAATTACCAGATCACATGAAGGTGTTCCTGTGCACCTAGGAAATCGCCTTAGTAGACGAGGATGCATTCCTTAAGTCGATTTTCAAGTGCAATACGAGCGCACATCAGAATATAGTAACGTTTATGCACTTTCACGTTTGATTGCTAAGCGCCGCGCCAGTAAGTAGGATGAGAATGAAGTGGTCGCCGTTAATGCCACCGAGAACGAGGTGAGGCGAACGTTCTCCGAGTATGCTCCCTGTGTACCCACCACTCGCAGACTGGTGTCAAGGGAACGACTGAAAAGTGCATGTCGCAACAGGTGGTTGCATGCCCAAGGTTGGCCGGCCCTCCCGCAACGATGGAACGGAATGTAAGTAGTCGTAATTGATAAGAATTGTTTAGATATGATGGATAATCCCATGTTGTCTAGATATCGTGTAGTTGTACCGTTTCGATATCGATCCCGTAGTGAGTTGCGTGCACGTCACGCAGGTACTAATTGGACCAATGTATTCGTATGTAGCTGTGTCTGACGACCATTCACAGACAGGGTTGTCGAAGAAGTTACTCACCTGTGTTTCAATAATGACGAACACACTAGTCGAATTTACTTTGTTCCCATGGCCTCTACAGGACAAGTGTGTGC